TAGCAAAACAGCTTACCTTGACTATGGTTCCGCCAGGACTGATATCATCATCACCATTCACAGATACATGTGTTCGTTCAGAAAGAGCAGGACGAGTTTGCCGCTCACGTTGTCTCACAGTCTCGTCTCTAGATCCAACATCATTTCGCTCATTTGCGTTACCACGCACGGTTGGGTAATCCCATGAGTTTGTCCCTCCTCCACCATCCGAGTCCTCGTCAAGATCACTGTCGGAAGAGACCCCAGTTCGAGACCTGTTGAATTTTTCGTGAACTGAACATGCACAAATTTGCAGATCGATACCTACCGGTACTCCCTAGCTCTCTCAATCAACTCCACCAATATTCCATTTTTCTTCGCTTTCTTGATAAACGGATGCTTCAGAAGAGCACTTGCAGATGGCCTCTGAACACGTACAATCAGGATGTCAGCAGAGCAATAGCAACAATTGCTTTGGAACACCTACATTATCCGGATCCTTGTTCAAACATAATTCTACAAAATCCTTGAAAGTTCGTGACCACTGAGGTCCGGTCAGTTGTGGTGGAGGATTTTTTGGTATCAAAAACAGTACCCGCATCGGATGCAAATCGGAATGTGGTGGTTCACCCTGAGCCAATTCAATGGCTGTTATTCCAAGTGACCAGATGTCAGCCTAAACTCACGAATCTTAGACGATTGATGACCAATCGTGAACACAAGAACACAGAGGATAAACAACAAAGTTTGAAAGTACAGAGGAGCTACAGTGCAGCAATTCACCTTGTAGTCATAACTGGCTTGTTTTATGAGCTCGGGAGCCATCCAAAACGGTGAACCAACAAACGTAATACGTTTCTTGACTGTTTCCGTCAGCTGCCCAGCCACACCAAAATCAGCCACCTTCACATCACCTTGTTCGCTCACCAAGACATTGGCCGCTAGAATACAAAGGGATGAGAGGGAATACACGGAATCCAGATAAGTACTCTTCCAAGAAACGAAGGGATGAAGAGAAAGGTTTTTACTTCTCCTTCACGATGAATGCTCACGGAAATAGGTAACAATGAAAAGAAAGCTCTGACTTGGGTGTGCAAATCAGGGTTAAGAGAAAAAGGAACGCGATATAGAGGGATAGGAGACATCCACAAAAAAACGACTACCTTTGGATAAAGTCCACTTAGGATTAGCACGTTGTGTTCCTAGTCAATCAAGCAATGTGCTTAATGACAACTGCGAAAGGAAAAAGTAGGCACACATTGGAATCGGTAGAAAGTTCCAATTAGACAGCACTTCCGCACTGTCGAACAAAGGTAAAGGGAGTTCAAACAAGCTTTTAGCACCACCGCCCCTATACACTATGTTCCATGCTATCGAGCTCTCCAAGAAGAAAACATGATCTCTAACATGGCGTGCAAGGCAT